TCTACGGCCGAAGCGATAATTTCACATTTCGAAGGCTCAAAAGCAGATTTGGTAGTTTGCGATGGTGCACCTGACGGTTACTACACTTCATTTTTAAACTCAGTGTGCACATATACTGTAGTGCAGTTCTGAACAGCTGTCAAGACTGGAATCAAATTATTGTTTTAAGTGAAGAAAGAACCATCATCCAGTTTTAGAATCTTCCATTTGTCACATTCTACCCAAAAATATGATATTCAAATTTCAGTGACAGGATTGCATGCACTCGACGAATACATGCAAGGTCAATTGATCGTCGCGGTATGTTATAATTTAAAATTTCCTCATTAAGTTTTTAAATTTTTGAGGTGTATCGTACATTTCACAGCCATATTCATTCATCTACTACCTTTTTCTAAACCCTCACTGTGTTAAATCTGTTATCTAATTCAGCTGCATGTGTTTGGTCTTATTGAGTTTTCATTTTCAGGCGCTGAATATCACAACATTTGTGCTCAAAGATTCCGGCACCTTTGTTGCCAAGGTATTTTTAATTGCGTTTTTTTGAACGGGCTCATTAACTTATGATTTTGGAATACATCAACCATCCTACTGTAAGAACCTCCAGGGTTCCTTATTGTAAAGGTGGCTTGAGAAAATTTGAACGTTTGTTCGGTAGAGTTCTGAAAAAAAGAGTTGAATTTCATTTGGATTATTACAGATATTCCGTGCGAGACATGTTACACTGTTGTACGCCCAACTGAAAAATTTCTTCGAGCAAGTGTTCTGTGCGAAGCCTCGAAGCAGTCGACAGAGTAGTTGTGGTCAGTTTACGTTATGCTGCAAATTTAGGTTAATACTGTTGTTGTTAGTATGGAACAGCGCAAACTTGATTGATTTTAATAAATTTGCAACGGAGGTTTTCGTTCTCTTTTCCACTTTCGAATCGTTTTGTCTCACCCAAAAAATTTTCAGAAGCGTTTGTTGTTTGTAGAGGTTTCCACCTGCCGGATGGCTACACACCAACAATGGAGAATCCTATGTTTACACCTGATTACGGTATTGTTTATTTCATTAGCATATGTAAAAGCAAATAGTTCAAATAGCTTGTTCCTTACATGAACTGGAATGAAGAGTTTACGATAGTCATACTTCATTCATACTCAAAATCAAAAATCGAAATTGATCTGATTTCATTTGGCAGATGACACAGTGAATACACTGGTCGGCGCCAATCGAGTATTAGTGCCATTTGTCGCATGCGGTGATCTGTCAGGATGGGATTCTGATCGTACCTACAGC